GTAAAATTTTTCTTGTAAAGCGTCATATAATATACCTACTTCCGTACTTGACGCATCTTGATGACTTGTAGTCATGAGATGATCGGATGATTAAAATTGCCATGATCAAAATAAACAAAATAACAGCTTCAGTGACAAAGGTCGTAAATCATACTTTGGAATGTCCCACTGCATTGAGAGCATTTGAAATGTTTCCTCTTTGGGTAAGCACGTTCTTAAAAGAAACACTTTGAAAACACGTCTTATTTACGTGTACATAAAAGTCTTGTTGAATTCGATGTTGCAAAGTCTATTGGGCTCACGGGCTTGTTCTTCAAAGTTAAACTAAGCGAGTGAAGATATTTTGATCTCCTCGTCTTCCTAAGAAAAAATAAATCTGTTATCACGAATTAAGAGGCTGTCCGTGTAAGAACCGACCACTCGATTTTCGGCCGGAAACAGAATTTCTTCAAATTTTCTGTGCGAGACAGTTAGTCCATATGATAAACAAAAATAGCAATAATTTNAACGCAAGCTGCACCTTGAATGGACTGGAAAAGTGAAAGTAAAATTTTTCTTGTAAAGCGTCATATAATACACCTACTTCCGTACTTAACGCATCTTGATGACTTGTGGTCACGAGATGACCGGATGATTAAAATTGCCATGATCAAAATAAACAAAATAACAGTTTCAGTGACAAAGGTCGTAAATCATACTTTGGAATGTCCCGCTGCATTGAGAGCATTTGAAATGTATCCTCTTTGGGTAAGCATGTTCTTAAAAGAAACACTTTGAAAACACGTCTTATTTACGTGTAAATAAAAGTCTTGTTGAATTCGATGTTGCAAAGTCTATTGGGCTCACGGGCTTGTTCTTCAAAGTTAAACTAAGCGAGTGAAGATGTTTTGATCTCCTCGTCTTCCTAAGAAAAAATAAATCTGTTATCACGAATTAAGCACGAAACGGGAAAAAATAAGGGTCAACTAGCATCTGGAGTTTCCTTTTAGTAAATTTAGGAACCTGTGACAAGGAAAATTGATGTCCCTTCCTGTTATTTTCCAATCTTGTTACCATCAGGAGTACGAAATAAAATTTTTCCTTTAACTTAAAATACTCCGTTTAACGATGTGTGGATCTCCCCGTGAGAGAATGTTGCTCATTTCTGGCGCTGGTTCCATGCGCTCTGACGTAGACAGTGACACATTATTTTACAGTGCATTCTATCGGTTTACAACCTGGTAGCTAGCAGAGATCAAATAACAATTCCCCCCACAAAAAAGCAATAGAAATTAAAAATGTCGATCAGACGAAATGAGTGAACGATCACCAAAGGAAAAATATTGTTTACAGTGAAAACAGTTTTTCCAATTGGTACGATAATAGGGCGGAACTTTACAGAGGGTGAAACATCCTAAACACTGCTTTTTCTACCAGGGAATCAAATCATAGTGATGGGGTTTTCTTAATTTGTGTGCTACAACCAGTCATGGAAATCGCCAGACACTCTACGACAAAATTCACTTGCACAAGAACAAAGACTATGGACGTTTGGCGACTACTGCAAACTACAATTGGCAATTTGCCGAACTCATTCTCTTTCGCCAGGCAAATCAATTTTGAATACGACATATTTAAGAATTTAAAGACTTAGAATTTGCTGTTTCAACCCCAGGTATATAGACATGTAGAAAGATACTTCATTTAACTTTGAGAAAATAAGGCTTGTTAGTCCTCCAGCTTGAACATCTAATGAGTGGACTTATAAAAACTTAAAGATCTAACTAAAAAATAAATGCATATGAAAAACCGCTTGAATTTACACCATTGATAACGCTGAATGATCAAATCAGTACTTACTTTAAATTAAATACGTAAAATAAGAAAACATTGGATCACGTAAAGAC